GGGGCGGACGCGGGCCGGAGACGCGCGCCGGGAGCGGGGCACCGCGGCGGCCGCAGGATGGCCGAGGTAAGCGGGGCCCTCCCGGGAGCGGGGTCGCTGCGCGGGGCGGCCGAGGCGCCGCTCGGACCCGGTCCCGTCGGTACCGGGACGCGCCCTCAACACCTCCCGAGGCCACCCGCGCGCGGCGCGGCCCGCAGGAGAGTCTCGTTTCTCCGGCCGGGGTTGCGGGGGGAGGGGGGCCCGCGAGGGTCCGAGTCGGGGCGCCCCGGGTCCCCGGTCAGCGTCGCGCGTCGGAAGTGCGGGTCGGGCGACGCGCGTCGGTCCGCCCCCCGCCCTCAGCGTCGCTCGGTCCCAGCGCGTTCGCCTCAGAATTACCTCAACCGGCCGCTGGCGCTTGGAACCGGCCGCTTCTCCCCGGGTTTTGTGTCTGTGGAGAACGCAGCGTGCGGTGGCCGTCGGTCCCCGTGGGAACTGCGGGGACGGCAGGGACGGGGCTCCCGGCCGCGCGGGTGGCGGGGGGAGGGGGGCGCCTCTTTTGTGGGACGCTGCAGAGCCAGGTGCAGGCGGGCGGGACGCACGCGTCCGGCGCCGGGTGGCGTGGACGGCGCCCGGCAGGGCTGATAGACGCGCCGCCGACAGGCGTGCGGTGCGGCGAGCGGCGTGGCGCGCGGCGCCCCCCCTCGGTCCGAGCGCGGGGACGGGGCCCCGGGGGTTCCACGGAGAAGGCGGACACGCGTCCCTGGCCGCTTTTAGGACGGGGCACCTGCAGGGACAGAGGGGACTTGGGCGCCTGGGCTGTGCCTGACAGCGCAGGGCCAGCCAACGTCCGCGCCCCTCGGGAGCGCCGCGTCGGTCCCCTGGGGCGGGGGGGGGGCGCCGGCGGAGGAGGCCGCTGCGTGTCCCCGCTGCCCCCCGACCCCCCGCCGCCTGGCTTTGCCGGAGCTGTTCGGGATTTGTCAGCCAGATGTGACAAGATCGCGGCGAGGCGAGGGAAGGAGGAGATCTGATATTAATCAGCGCATAGCTCGGAGCCAAACTTTCTCAAATGCGGTGTAGGAACATGTTCTTCTCATTTAAGGCATCTCTTTGTGGCCGTGCGGCTGCCACCGGCCCGACTTTTGACAGTTCAATGGAATGCCAGGGAGCAGCCTTAATTGTAGGAGTGAAATTGTGTGTGTTGGGGTTGGGGGTCGGGTCGGGGTGGGGGTGGGGGTGTGTGTGGGAGATCAGACACTCTGAGGTTCAGTAATGTCCCCTGGTTTTATGGCCGTGCTCACCGCAGCCCTCTGAAGACGGGGCATTTAAACCTGGCCAGATGCCTGGTCGCAGCCAGGCCTCTGCTGTTAACACTTAAGGGGCCTAAAGGAGGCCCCACTGGTGTCTTGGGAATCCCTGTCAGGGTGTGCGTGTGTATGTGTGTGTCAGGGGAAAACGTGTTACTACAGCTTTCGGTTGGTACACACAGCAGGTCTAGCAACGCTTTTTCAAAAAATTGATTTCTTCTCATCAAAGCGACAAAGATTCTGGCTTGACCCTAAGTGCATTGAAACACAGCCTTTGGCAGATTTTTTTTTTCCCTTCCTCCCCCCTTCCCCCTCGGGTGTCCTTTCATCCGTTGTTGATTGTTTTAATTTGCTGTTGGATTTCATGGGATCTTTTCCTAAGATTTCTTGGACTCGCCTTAGTTTGCACATACGTGTGCACGTGTGTGAACATTTTTTGTTCAGGGACAAATATACTGGCTTCTTCATTACCCCCTTCCCAAATAGGTTGATATGTGTGATTAAAACATCATTAAAATTGGGTATGTCAGAATAAAATGTTTGTGCCTCATGTAAAAAAAGGACATTACTTTTGAGCGTTATAAATGGTCCAGGGTTTGATTTTTGCTTTAAGTAGTAGGTGTGAAAAGATGGCCACCACTTTTGCTGTGATGAATTTTGATAAATATCTTTATCCTTTGGGCATACCGAAAAGAAGAAGATATGAGCCATTGTTTGATTTCTCGTCTGTTAAGTTTGCCAAGTTTATTTGCACCAAAAAAAGTATTGCTATTTCAACTCAACTGTCGGTTGAACAGGTTCCTCTTATAGTTAAATGCTGAGACGAGGTGGTGAAATCTTCACTTAGCAGAAATGCTGCTCACGCTTCGGGACCTCATAATGATGTTCAGACATCTGTGTAATTTAATTTGGAATATCATTTGTACCCATAGATTCCTCAGGACTTAGCAATATGCACCTCCTTCAGTTGGAGAGAAAGTGGTTGGCTTGAAGTGGTCATTTGGCCGTGGATCTCTACTAGGATGTGAAACGAATGGTCTGTTTGCTCTGGTTATAATTCACATTACAAATAGTAACCAACATGGAGTAACTGCCATGGAAGCATAAGGCTTGCGTAGAGGGGATTTTTACATCTGTCCCATGCAGCAGCTAGAACCACCCCAGGCCCATGTCCACATTCTTATCTCAGAATCATCAGCATGGAAAGAAGGGCGATACAGCCCACTGGGTGAGAAAAGCCATATCGATTTCCCAGTGGGAAAAATAATTGTCCCATAAGCATACACTTATCATTTATATAATAAATGCTTGGGGACAAATATACACAGGAAAACACTTTAAAAGTACGGTTTGTCAGTAAAATTAAACCGCAGTATACGGGTGAGAGGCAGACGTGTCCTTTAGCTTTTGTATATGGCTTTAGAAGTTATTTTGACAGTGGCCATTAAAGAGTTGCCCTGAAGGTTCCACAAGGTAAATTACTTGCAGGAGGAGCATGCTTTACCCCGGGGTGAATTTTCACCTCTACAGATGTCATTTAGAGTGAGTTACTTGAGTGAGAAACAGCCCTGTTTTAAAAGACCTGGAAATACTCTAGCTAAGGTGAAAACTTGATGCTAAGCCACTCATCTTTTTGGTATCTAAGATCAACATTTAGGGAGTCAATAAAAAATTTGAGTTGCCTTGTTCCAAGTATTCTACCACACATTTTTAACTTTATTTAGATAGAATTATTTGTTTAGGTAAAAAAAAAAAAGAATTATTTTTCATGACTTATCTGAGAGATGTTAAAGATAACTGGATTCTGCACAGAAGGGGCATCTGGAATGTTTGGGTTTTTTTTTTTCTTTTCCTTTTAAATCAGTTTACACCTGAAAACCTTATTTCCTCTTATCTTGTCATTCTTTGAAGCCCTTTTTCCTAACTCTGGCAATTCCAAGATTCTGGTGTGGCCCATTTCTCTACCCAGACAAACGTCTTTTTATCCAAAAAGGGTGGGTCTAAACAGAGAGCAGACAGCAGACGTGTTTCGCCACAGTCGTCTTTGGGGCTTTTCTCAAACTTCGCTTAGTTAGAAGTAAACCGGCTATCGCCATTGCCATCCACTTATGGACTCATTACTATAAACCAGCCTAACGTATCACGGGGACTGTGCCTTGGGAGGATGATCATTTCACTCAGCTAATGTGAGAGAAAAGAGACATGGAGAAATAAAATGCCGTGAAGTCCAGGTCCACACAGCCTGTGTGGAGGGAAATGGTTGTCTCAGGTAAACTCATTCAGGCTACTAATTTTTTTGTTATGTTAGTTTGTCTCCTCTTACAGATGATTTGTGTCATCCTTCCATATACTCTTAACAAACATCAAAATTATTTTCCAGCTCTACACCAGCTTCTGGAAGTATTGGCCTTGTTCTGTAGACCTCTGGTCGTTTCTTGCATTGCTCATTATGAAGATAAAATTGTTATACAGACAACTCGAATGTTTCATGATATATGTACCATGCTGAATTTTAAGACAGTGATCGGGATGGCATGATTAACTGATCTTTTCTTTTTAAAAACTTTATTTTGAAAATCTAAGGGTGTTCTTATACTTAGTTTTTTAAATCTAGTTCTCATTAAGTCCCTAAAAGAAATGTTTACAATAGAAATGTTCACAATTTCGTTATTTTGCATCAACAGCAATAGTGCACTTGCATTATTGTGTAACCGGCCACCTTAGTTAAAATTATCCTAAAGTGTAAATGTTTTTTTTTTGCTTGTTTGTTTTTGTTTTCCCCCAGGCTGACTGTTGTGTTCAGAAGTTCCCTACACGTGCAGTTAACTTGAATGTCCTTTTGGGTTTTTTTTGTTACCAAAGTTTCTGGAGATTGCCACTGAGGTCTCCCAAACTAAGGTTATAAAGGAAAAACAATGTAGTTGTATCTTTATTTCTCTATAGTTTTGTTGTTGTTGTTAGTTTTTTACAAAGATATATTTGGTTAGGTTTCTAACATTTGCATATTTTTCTACTTTTTATATTTTTTGTTTTTAGAACCAATTATTTTAAGAAAAAAGGCACAGCTGTTAAATTATTTTGGCACAGAGTTTATACTTTGATTTATAGAGATCAAAGAACAAGTATTTTCCCCGTCACCGTCTTTGAACTAAGGAGCAGAGAACACTACAAATGTGTCACGCATATTTTCTACTCACAGGTAGACTTGGCCCGACATCTGTCCCCTGAGCTCCACCTCCCACCTGCCCCTGCTCTGCCAGACCCTTCTCCATGCTTTCAGTCTTCTTTGACTGGTCTCTCTTTTCATCCCCTTCCATACAGTGAGAAACCAGCTTCTGTCAGGTCTCCTCCAGTGTCATTTTTATATTGCAAATGCTGTCTCCCTGCTTTCTGAGGCTTCCCAACTGCAGTCTTTCAACCGTGCTCATGGCAAGCAGTGTCTCCCCATTGTTCAGAACACTGATGGCTTCATAAACTCAGCACAGAGACTCCTGGCTGTCCATCTGTACAGCCTACCCCCACCCTGCGTTGCCCGTCGGGGTCCTCTCACTGCCCATGACAAATCTGTGCTCTGTGGCCCAGCGCCCTGGGCCCCACACTCTTGTACAGAGTGAGACTTCCTTATGCCTGGGACTGTGGTCTTTCCTGCACGTGCTGTTCAGAGCATGCCTGCTGCCTCCTGGAGGAAGTCTCTCGGGCCGCTCTCCATAACATTGCTCCCTCCCTCCATTTGCTCTTTCACTCAAAACAAAAACGTTAGGGAGGGGGAGTTTTGATTTTTTTTTTTTACTTTTTATTATAGAGAATTTCAAACAAAATTACAATAGTTTAGCAAAGCTTAGTGATATGTGCTGCGGGATTAAAGAGCAATCAACGTTGGGTCAATCCTGTTTCATCTATATTCTCTACCCATTCCCCTACCATTATCAACACTGGATTACATTGAAACAAATCCGGGCATCATATAATTTCATAAATATTTTAAAACGTAGCTCTAAAAGAAAAGGCTTTTTTAAAAAAGACAAAAGCTATATACTATTATATATAGCACCTGAAAACTTAACAACTCTCTCGTGTTATTACATGTCCAGTATTCAGATGCCCTTCGTTGTCTTGTAAGCTTTGTATTACCATTAGTTTGTTAACGTCAGGATCCAAATGAGGTTCATATGTTGTCTCCCTTAATCTATAGGTTTATACTTTTTTCCTTGTAATTTTTATGTTGAAATAGCTGGGTCATTTGCCCTACAGCGTGGCCATCATGTTCTTGTTCCAAGAAGGAAAGGCACAGAGGTCCATCCTCCCGTTTATAAGACTGCGTTCTGTAAAGCTCCACCCAGCAACTTCTGCTTGTTACCATTGGCCAGTACTTAATCACCCGGCCACCAAAGGAGACGTAGAAATTCAGCTGCTTTTACTAAGGCGGATCAGGCAAAAGGAAATAGGGTGGGCATCTGTAATTAGTAAGCATGGTTCAGCTCTCTCGTTGATTCATTTCTTATTCTCTCAGTACCTTTCGAAGGCATACCGAGTACCAGGCCCAGGGCCAGCCACGGAGTGTTGGTTTGGAGTTTCAGTTGTTTCGTTGCCTCTTTCAGGAATGATTCATTGTGGAGCAACTTTTATGGAGGTTTTTATCATAGATATTATTAGCACTGTCTGTGCAGAGTCAGACCACCAGAGCCCAGAGGACCTAAGAACCTACTCATTGTAGGCCTGGCAGCAACAACAGTCTCCCTGTGCTAATTGGTCTTTTCAACTCCCCATCTGTATATTCTCATTAATATAGCTAATAGGCCTCTGAGGTAGGCAGGAGCAGATATCCAGCCCATTTTATAGTCAGAGGCTCCAAGTCATGCAGCTCAAGGTTATGTGGCTTAACAGGAAGTAAGATATAAGTTGCCTGAAGCCAATCGTAGATTTTACTACCTCCCAGTGAAAGAAGCGCTGTGTGCTGAGGGGCACGGAGCTCGGGCTCCCCAGCTACGCATCCAGAGGTGTCATTTTAATAGGCAAATCATATTAATTTCATATCTTTTTCAAAGACTCATTGTTAAACTTAGAACAGAGTCCATACTACTTGGCCTGCCCCATAAGATCCTATGCAGAGTGGTCTCTGTCACCTCTCTGACCCCCATTTTCTATCATTAACCTTACTAACTCCACTCTAGCTATACTGGCCCCTTTGCTGTTCTCTGAACACTCCAGCCTCTTCTATGCCTCAGGGCCTTTGCACTTGCTATGCCCGCTGCCTAAAAACTCGCTCTGCCTCCAGTTCTTCACTGGCTCCTTGCCATCTCTTGGGATTCAGTTCAAATGTCAGCTCCTTAAAAAAGCCTTTGACAATGACCCTATCTAAAAAGCACTTACTCCTACTCCTACCCCTCCATGAAACGCATTAACCAGAATTTTGATTTGTAACATATCAAAGTGACTAATAATTCGGAAATAGCCTGATTAAAATGAGTACACAAAAAGCAATCATCATGTCTTGAGGAGTTTGGGATGTTGTAAACATCTGCTTTATGTTTCTGAAAAATGGAACATGTATCAGGATTCCAAAGGAAAGGATGCAAGCTTTCAGTGTTCCATTTTGATTTACCTGAGTACTTTTTGTCCCATAATTAGAAATTTTTGGTTTGATTTCGCTTTAGAAGTTTTCATGTGTCTTTAGATAATAGTGCTATAATTTTGCTACGTTGTGGAAGCCTGAGGTGGGTGGAAAAACTGAAGGACCTTATAGTAGAAGCTTTCTTAGACACTGGTTAGCTCTTTTAGTTCATAAATAATTTCTCGGAGATTTATTTCCATAGATGTCTAGTGAGCTTTATTAAGCCTTATTCAAATAGATTCATATAGAACCACATGAATGTTTCTTATACAGCAGCATTCATACATAGGAATTGTAGATTGAACTGCTTAAAATTCTGTCCCATAAATAGAAGCTGCTAAAACTGAATCATCAGGTTAGGTCAGTGGGTCTCAACTGGGGGTGTTTTTGCCCCCAGGGGCATTTGGCAATGTCTGGAGACATTTTTGGTTTTTACAACGGGGAGGGAGGTGTTACTGTGGCATCTGGTGGGTAGAAGTCAGGGAGGCTGCTAGACATCCTACAATGCACAGGACAGCCAGAGAATTCTCCAATTTGAAATGCCTATAATGCTTAAGTTGAGAAACCCTGAGTCAGGTGTCAAGAGAGGTAGAGAAAATGAGTTTCAACCTTGGGCTATGAAATTGTGCTTGGAATTGTTCTGGGTGTAGTTTTGCTGTGCTAGGCCTGAGAAAGCCACCCAGAGGGTCCTGGGGCTTTGCAAGGGGAACAGCCTTTTGAGCAAACTCCCCAGGGAGTAGAAAAGGTGTATTGTGCTCAAGAACGTTTCTTCCTTTGATTAGAGCAGGTTCTATGTTCCGAATAAATGAAATGTGAATGCATTTTGTTTCAACGTCTTGTTTTTAAAGAGTGAGTGGCATTTTCAGGGACATCATCCAAACTAAGAACTTTTCTGCTTTTTAAAATTTTCTTTAAAACAGTCATAAGAGTGTAGGTTGTGAAATAGTTCAGAGGTTTAGTACTAAGTGTGCTGGTAGTTATTGAGAATACAGATAATTGGTTTGTCTGTGAGCGGATATTCAGACAGCTGCAGAGGAGTTTGAGAAACTGGACAGCATCAGGTGTGCCACAAACTAACAATGGTATTCTTTAAAAAAGGGTTTTGACAGTGTGTAATAAAAATTAAATTATTACTCATTTTTATCCTTTAGCTTCCAGTCAAGATAGCCAAATAATTATCTGCATAGATATATAGATGTATATGTTCATATATTTAACACATTTGTATATGTACATATAAGTAGAAACTATATAACTAAACAGTAAAATAATTCCTGGCATTAGAGCAGTGTTTCTCAATCTGTTTTCATTTCTTGCCCTACCCCCACATTTAAGGAGAATAGGTATTTATTGCCTCTCCCAATGAAATTTTATTATCATATTGTCTCATGCTCCCCACCAAGAACAAATGTCACCTTTTTGGAATGATACCACCCCCAGTGGGAATGCAAGCATTATTATTAGAGTGTTGTGATCAGCTGGAGTTCTTTGAATTATACCAAATGACTTTACAAAGAGCCAAAATCTTTTCTCCCATGTTTCCTGGTTTGTGATAGCCTGGTGAAGGGATTAGGTAATATTGTTGCTATCTGCTGAACACCTCAGTTAAGCACAGCCCTATTTCTTCACCTGAAAAATCTGTCTAGTGGCTCTGTTCACATTGGAGTCCAAAAGGAATTGTAGATAACAGTCAAATCATGTAAATTTTAACCTGTATTTAAGTTAGGTCACTGATTTTTTTTTTTTAGAACACTTTTCAGAAAGTACAGAGATTTCCCATATGTCCCCTGCCTGCATACATGCATAGCCTCCTCCATCTAGAGCAGCGGTTCTCAACCTTCCTAATGCCGCGACCCCTTAATACAGTTCCTCATGTTGTGGTGACCCCCAACCATAAAATTATTTTCGTTGCTACTCTATAACTGTAATTTTGCTACTGTTATGAATCGTAATGTAAATATCTTTTTGTTTTCCGATGGTCTTAGGCGACCCCTGTGAAAGGGTCGTTCGACCCCCAAAGGGGTCGCGACCCACAGGTTGAGAACTGCTAATCTAGAGGGATGTTTGTTAAAATTGATGAACTACATTAACTCATAAGAATCATTGAAATTCCATAGTTTGCCTTAGAGTTCAATACTTGTGTTGTATGTCCTATGGGTTTGGACAAGTGAGTAATGTCGTGCTTCCATCATTATGGTATCATTCAGAGTATTTTCACTGCCGAAAATTCACCGATGTCCCGCCTAGTCATCAAGTATTGGGGAGGATATGGGGAAATTGCAACCCTCATATACTGTTGGTGGGAATGTAAAGGGGTACAGTTCCTTGGGACAGCAGTCTGGCGGTTTCTCAGAAAGTGAAACATAGAGTTACTGTATGATCCAGCAATCGCCCTCCTAGGAATATATCCCAAAGAAATGGAAACGCTTGTTCACCATAAACTTATACACAGGGTGCCTGTGGGGAATGATGAAAATTAGTTTGTGAGGACGGTTGCCCAACTCCGTGAAAATACTAAAAATCATCGAATTGTATAATGTAAGTGGGTAAACAAACTGTATATGTGAATTGTATCTCAATGTAATGCTGTTTTAAACAAGATGAAAACAGAAAAAGAATACCCTTCTTCCCTCCACTACCACCCATTAGCAGTCAGCCCTCATCCCTGGTAACTCACCACAACTCCTGATAACCATTACTAGTCTACTTTCTGCCTCTATGGATGGGCCCATTCTTGATATTTCATGTAAATAGAATCATACAACTTCTGATTTTTTTATACTTCTCTCAGTTTTTGTACTTCTTTCTCTAGCATGATGTTTTCAAGGTTCATCCATGTTGTAACATGAATCAGTATGTCATTTTTTCTTACTGCTTAATAGTTTTCCCTTGTGTGGATATACCCCATTTTATTTATCCATTCATCAATGGAAGGACATTGGGGTTGCTTCCACTTTGGGTCTATTAAAAATAATGCTGCTATGAGCATTTGGGTACAAGTTCCTGTGTGGGCATATGTTTTCAGTTCTCTTGGGCCCATACCTAGGAGTGAAGTTTCTGGGTCATATGGTAACTCTGTGTTTGTGAAGATCTGCCAGACTGTTTTCCAAACTGGTTGCACACCACTTTACAATCCCACCAGCAACTGATTTTTAGTGAGGACTAGTTATATACCCTTTAAAGCGAGTTTCCCAAGTCCCAGGCCAGATTCTCCCCTTCTTAACCCCACACAAGACCATATAGTCCCTTAATTGGCAGATGGAAGTTTAAACCTATAATTGTAGAACTTTTTCATTGCCCCCCCCAAACACACACACACACACACACACACACACACACACACACACACACACACGTGCACACTCCCCAATTTCAAGGCTGTCTTGAATCATATGGGTTCCACCCAGTGGCCCTTTCCCAGAACCTCAATGTCAGAGCCCCTGGGAGAGCTTTTTAAATAATAGATTATGTTCTTCAGGCCTCTATCCCCTTTAGAGAAATTCATCTTGAAAATATATGTGAAGCTTTGTTGTTGATACTAGAACTTCGTTGACACGTACATCTCTATTTTCTGTTTCAGCTGTATGTTTGCACACTCCACAGCCCCGCCCCACACATGGCACTTGAATATGCAGCTGGGCATCCCGGCAGGGTTTGTCCAGCCTGTGTCTGTTACACAGCCCAGTGAGAGGGGTCAGGGAACCATCCTCAATGCCGTCAGCCAGCACATGACCTCAAATCTGTTTTAATATTCAGCCCCTACCATGTCTTGGGGGGTAACGGATTCCACATGTGGATTACTCTCAGTTCCTATCAGTCCCCATTTACTTGTTCCAAGGCAGGCTCTGTATGCCTTTCAGCCCCTGCTGTGGTCAATTTTAGAGATTTGTTTAAAATGTGACTCTTCACCCTTTCTATGTCCTTAGTAACATTCAAGGTATTTCCTTCCAACCCATAATGTTGTTTCTGGGTTTTTTTTTTAAAGATTTTATTGGGGGGTGGGGGGTGGAATCGGGGGAAGGGGAATAGATAAGTTGCTGTCGTTTTGTTCTTCAGTCTAGTTGTGGAGGACATCGCTTCACTGGCCCATGTTGGTATTATCATTGTGCTCTTCCTGGGTGAGGCAGATGGGTCACCAGCCTCTGGATGGCCGCTCACGGTGGCTCTTGGCAGCTCACACCGACTGCCAGCCATTCACGGTAGCTTATGGCAACCCACGGCAGCAGGGGCTGCAGCCTATGCCATCGCCAGCGACTCACGGCAGCCCAGCTCCAGGTTGAGCTGTTGTTCACCATATTAGCTGAAGAGGGCGGTGTCACTGGCCCCCATGTGGGATCCAAACCGGGGCCCTGCTGCTCAGAGCTGGCATCCCAAGCCAGCTCTTAACCAACGCACCACTCGGCCGGCCACCATAATGTTTTCTTATAAAAAGTTCTGGTGTTTGTAGCCTGTTCTCGCATGCAGAATACCTGTGTAATGTGTTCGCCATCTCTGGGTTGTGGGCCAGCTGTTCCATTTTCCAGGGCCGGATATACACGTCTGGGTCTGGCACGGAGTGGGCACATGTTGTTCAATGAGTGTTGCTGAATGGAGGTTTTGTTTTGTAAATGCGAGGGGTGTCCCACACATCACTAACATGCTAGGGCATACCTGTGTTCTCTTTTGCAGGCTATCGGCTGTACTCTGAACTGCAGTTGCCAAAGTTTCAAACCAGGGAAAATAAACCACCGTCAATGTGAACAGTGCAGGCATGGATGGGTAGCCCATGGTAACTATTTTTCCCCTTCTTTTGGCTGGTCGTATTCCCTCTAAATAACTTACACTCATTCAGGAACAGATGCAATATCTAAGAATGACAGCTAACATTTGTAAGTTACTACTGTGTGCCAGGTAACAGGCTAAGAGCATTATATGTGCCATCTCTTTGAATCTTAACAACTCTACATGGTAAGTGTTTTGTTAGCCCTATTCTAGAGATGTAGACACTGGTGCTTCAGTGCTGTCATTTTGCAAAGATAGAATTGTTCTGTGCTGTCTAATATAGAGTAGCCTGTAGTCCAGATAAAATACAGAATGCTCAGTGAGATTTGAATTTCAGATAAACAATAAATAATTTTTTAGCGTAAATATATCCTAGTGAAGATTTTTAGTATCACTATGTCCCACTTATTCATTGTTTATCTGAAATTTATATTCAGATGTAACTGGGCATCATGTCTTTTTATTTGCTAACCCTGACCCTATACTAGCCGCTTCTGGCTACCGAGTACTTGAAATGTGACTAGTGTGACTGCAGAAGTGAATTTCTCATGTTATTACATGTTAATGAATTTAAATATACATTTAAGTCACCATATGTGGCTGCTGACCATTGCATTATACGGCATTGATCTCGGCAGTTTAATTCGCCAAGCCTGACAACTAGAAAGTGGCAGACCAGGGCTCAAACACAGGTCCTGGATTCCCAAGTCCCACTTCTTCACCTGGTGCTTCCTGAGTGTCCATCCTCTCTTAGGCACCTGACACCTTTGTTTTGACCCCTTTTCCTCACACCTTCCCTACTTGTGGCTGTTTTACTCCTCAGAGATGCCACAGGAAAGGCAGAAAAGAAGAGTCTCAGGCTAGTCCATTTTATTGTAGAAGTTCCTGTGATTGCTGTTACGATTATTCATCGTTTGCATAGTCGCGGGTTTTGTTTTGTTTTGTTTTTCTGTTGGAACAGATAACTGAGAGTTAGTGCTACCTTATTTCCTGTGCAGTGTTTCTTTTGACAATAGGAATCTTTCAAAACAAGATTTCTTCCATGTGGTTTTTCAGCGCTAAGTAAGCTCAGGATCCCCACCATGTATCCATCAAGCCCGGTGGAGATCGTCCAGTCCAATGTGGTGTTTGACATCAGCAGCCTCATGCTGTATGGGACCCAGGCCATCCCCGTTCGCCTGAAAATCCTCCTGGACCGGCTCTTCAGTGTGCTGAAGCAAGACGAGGTGCTACAGATCCTCCATGCCTTGGACTGGACGCTTCAGGACTACATCCGTGGATATGTGCTGCAGGTATGGTGACCACGGCCACCCTGTTCCTAGAACATCTGCTTAAATCCACGTCCACGTAGCTGACGTAACCCAGCTGCCTACTGGCACTGCAGCCATTGCGGCGCATCCTTTTCTTTAATATTTTTTCTAATGGGTTAGGCCCTACCTCATGTTCTGGGAGGAATCCAGCGCTTTCCTCAAGATATCCATGAAACTTCAGGATGTGGGAGCATTACATATTCTCTGGTTTGGGTTTGCACGAGGTCAGCTCTCCCACAGTAAATCATTTGCCCCGTCTTGGGCGCTGCTTCCATTTCTTTTATTTTCTGCAAACTACCTACTGACAACAGATGCTATCTTGTATCCGATTTTACTAAGGGTTTGGGGTTGAGCAAGGGAACTTACTTGACAGAACCACACAGCAAACAATTACAATTTCTGTTCTCTAAAGCCATCTGCCACCTCACTGCTGATTTTCCTTCCTAGAATCCATCATCTTGTGAGATTTCTGTGTTTGTGCTCTTGTTTAATCTTTCTCCCCAAGTGGCTTTCCACCTCCTCATGTTTTCTCTTCATTTCTCAGAGATGCAAGGCATCTATCTCTCTGTGCCTTTCATGCCTTCTCTCCTCTCTTTACTTTGCAGAATGGTTTTACCTCTCTTTCTAGAGCAAGCTATGGGGGTAGGTCTCGTGTTTCATATCCAAAGACCACCAAGGTGTTTTCACAAGCAAAGAACGTATTTCCTGATATGAATTATATCATTTGTCGAACATATGAAATAGATACAGCCTTTTTTTTTCCTTTCCACTACACTAGAAAATGTCAGCTAACTTTGGTAAAAATTTCAGGGAAGTGGGGGAGTGAACATATTTCCAAGACTAACATACACTTCAGTCTTACTCAGATAGGCCATATCATTACAGCAAACACTAATAACCATTTCTTGACCTAAACCCTCTTATGAGGTAGGTAGATTATCCCCGTTTTCCAGTTGAAAAACCAGAGGCTCAGAGTTCTTTTTTTTTTTTTAAGATTTTTATTGGGGAATTGGGGGAAGGGGAACAGACAAGTTGCTGTCGTTTTTTGTTCTTCAGTCTAGTTGTGGAGGACGTTGCTTCACTGGCCCAAGTTGGCACCATCATTGCGCTCTTCCCAGGCGAGGCACATCAGTTGTCGGCTTCTGGATGGCCGCTCACTGCGGCTGCTGGCCGCTCACGCTGCCTGCTGGCTACAAACGGTAGCCCATGGCAACCCACTGCCACAGGGGCTGCAGCCTACGCCATCGCCAGCGACTCACAGCAGCCCAGCTCCAGGTTGAGCTGTTGCTCAGCATCTTAGCTGTGGAGGGCAGTGTCACCGGCCCTCATATGTGGGATCCGAACCGGGGCCCTCTGGCGTCCCAAGCCAGTTCTTAACCAGTGCGCCACTCGGCCGGCCCTCAGAGTGCTTTTAAGTCTTGCTGAAGTCACTCAACTTATATGTGGCCAACCCAGGATTTGAACCTACTTCTTTCTAACTCTAAAGCCCATAATCTTCCTCTGGAAACACATTTGCTCCTCGAACGCAGGACCCTCAGCAAGCTAGAAACAACCTTTTATGTAGAGTAGCATTATGATCTTACATTATGACATAGATCAATATTTAATGATCTTAATAATCTTGCTTTCTAGTGTTAGGATTAAAAATATGGAATCAATTACCTTGAACCTCTAGTGCATGAAAAATTTATGATGTTACATTCCTCATCATCTTCAAAACTCTTACATGCACTGTGAAAAATCTCAGTAGGCCATCAAATACATGTTCTGTGATAAAATATTTATTGTAGTTTTGGGAAAAGTTAGGCCTTGCTAGGGTTTGAAAGATCTCCAACACTCCAGTGTAATTACAGCTCTGCTTTGTGAACCTGGGCAATAGATCAATACAGGTTCATTTGTTTTCTGATGGTCGTTGCTTGGGAAGATTATTAAAATGCAGTGAATAAATACTTGAGCTATATCTAGGTCTGATTGCTCCATCTATACTCTTTAGATAAAGAAGTTACTATTGTTCAAAAGATACATATTTTATTTTTTGTGGGGAATATTATTATGCCTAATGCAAGACAACCAATTGGTTTGAAATAAGGTGGAAAATAATTACCAAATTTCCCTTAGGCTTGAGTAATACAGTTTTATGTTTCTCTTTTGGACCACAACTTACATCTGTGCAGTATATTTGCTGCATAAAGTTTCTGGCTTAGGAGAGTGGTGTGCGTGGGGACTGAACTCAACAAGCCCCATGCTCATCCAGAGGGGGTGTCATTTTCTAGTGTGCACAGAGGTGCCCTGTGGTGCTAGTGGCGGCACTGACTGCGTGGCTCCTTTCTTAGAGAAAAGGGTAAGGAACAGTAAATTAATTGCGCTTTTAAATTCTGGTTTGGGTTTAGGATGCGTCTGGAAAGGTGTTGGATCACTGGAGCATCATGACCAGTGAGGAGGAGGTGGCCACCTTGCAGCAGTTCCTTCGTTTTGGGGAGACCAAGTCCATAGTTGAGCTCATGGCGATTCAAGAGAAAGAAGAGCAGTCCATCATCATCCCGCCTTCCACGGCCAACGTGGATATCAGGGCTTTCATCGAGAACTGCGGCCACAGGAGTGCCAGCCTCCCTGCTCCTGGGGACAAAGGAACCCCCAGCAGCGTACACCCTTTTGAGAACCTCATAAACAACATGACTTTCATGCTGCCTTTCCAGTTCTTCAACCCTGTGCCCCCTGCACTGATAGGGTCACTGCCTGAACAGTATATGCTGGAGCAGGGCCAGGACCAGAGTGAGGACCCCAAACAGGAAATCCATGGACCTTTCCCCGACAGCAGCTTCTTAACATCCAATTCTGCACCATTTCAGGTTGAATCGGAGCAGTGTCTAAACTGTCCAGATACTGTTACGAACAAGGAAGACAGTGCCCATTTAAGTGACTCCAGCTCATACAACATCGTCACTAGGCTCGAAAGGACACAGCTGTCCCCTGAGGGCAAAGTGAAGTCTGAGAGGCACAGCCTTGGCACAAAGAAGGGCCGCGTGTTCTGCACGGCCTGCGAGAAGACCTTCTATGACAAAGGCACCCTAAAGATCCACTATAACGCCGTCCACCTGAAGATCAAGCACAAGTGTACCATCGAAGGGTGTAACATGGTGTTCAGCTCCCTGAGAAGCCGCAATCGTCACAGCGCCAACCCCAATCCCCGGCTGCACATGCCCATGAACAGAAACAACAGGGACAAGGACCTACGGAACAGCCTGAGCTTGGTCGCCTCTGACCACTACAAGCGCCCAGGGTTCACGGTGACTTCTCCAGACTGTAGGCCTCTCCCTAGCTATGCTGGTTCAGGGGAGGAGTCCAGGGGCCAGCCGGCCTTCCCAAGCGTCGGGCAGAACGGTGTGCTCTTTCCCAACCTAAAGACAGTCCAGCCTGTCCTCCCTTTCTACCGCAGCCCAGCCACTCCAGCTGAGCTAGCAAACACGCCTGGGATGCTGCCTTCTCTCCCTCTGTTGTCCTCCTCAATCCCAGAACAGCTGGTTTCCAACAAAATGCCATGCGATGCCCTTCCCAAGAAGAAATCCCGGAAGTCCAGCATGCCCATCAAAATAGAGAAGGAGGCTGTGGAAATAGCAAATGAGAAGAGGCACAGTCTCAGCTCGGAGGAAGACATGCCCCTGCAGGTGGTCAGTGACGATGAGCTGGAGGCCTGCAGTCCTGGGTCAGGCAGGGCCCCAGAAGAGCAGCACACACAGTCAGCATGCTTAGGGAAGCCTCTCCCAGAAGGGGAGAGGGTCTGCCGTCTCCAGTCAGTGATCGAGCCCAGTGGTGCTATTCCCCGAACCCCTGAGCAGGCCACACACAACTCAGAGAGAGAGGCCGAGCAGAAGCCAGCGTTGGCTATGGTGCCAAGGGACGCCGAGGATGGCAGCCAAGAGCTGCACCTCACTCCTGGGATGGAGCCCTGTGTTCCTTTTCCCGACTACGTCAAACTGCAGCAGCGCCTACTGGCCGGGGGCCTCTTCAGCGCGTTGTCCAACAGGGGAATGGCTTTTCCTTATATCGAAGAGTCTAAAGAGCTGGAGCACATGGGGCTGCATGCATTAGCGAGGCAGAAGGAAGAAAGTCGATACCAGTGTGACATCTGCAAGAAGACCTTTAAGAATGCGTGCGGTGTGAAAATGCACCACAAGAACACGCACGCCAAAGGCACGCACGTGTGCACGGTGGAGGGCTGTACGGCCACCTTCCCTTCCCGCAGGAGCAGGGACAGGTAAGGAACCACTGGCAGTCGATTCTTTTGGGACTGTGGTTCTTAAACTTGAACATGCGCGGAATCACCTGGAGGGGTGTTAAAATGTACTTCTGAGCCCTGCCCCTAGAGATTCTCCTTCAGTAGGTCTGGGTGAGGTCTGAGAACTTGCATTTCCAAGTTCCCAGGTGACGCTGACGGTGCTGTGCCAGGGACCACATTTGAGAAACACTGTTCTATAGATCGACCCTCCTGAATTTTGAATTCTAAAATCTAAACTCCGTTGGCCGTAAGACCTGACCTGAAATGATGTGAGGTTATTTATAAATCGCCCTTTGTGTGGATTTTTTATATCTATTCAGTACAGAAATATTAATGGATTTATTATGGGGGCATTAACATGATATTACAGTATATGCATCATTCAGCTTTTACTGAAGTGTGAGAAATTCTGAATTCAGAGACACGTCTGGCCCCAAGGGTTTGGCATAAGGAATCATGAACTAGTTTGCACGTTAGAAGAGCGAGGAGACCACTTTTTAAATTATCACAGTCACTTCTCAAAACTGGTCTGATTTTCATTCCATGATATGAAGTCCAGCGAATGCGATGTTTCTTTGCTTTCTAGTTAACCAGCTATATTTGAAAGGAAGTATATAACTGCTTGATTGAAGTTTCTTTTAATATTAAGATATCAAAGAATAAAGGTACTTAGTTATTTCAGAAATGTTGGGATGAATGATGGACTGGGATATTGGTTGAAAGATGAGAAGCCTGTCGATGCTGGGTTTCCGTGACACACAGAGTCAAGCTGTTTACAAAGTGCCCGGGTACAGAGTATATCTCATCACTTCTGGGACCCAGCACTGGCATTACCATCTTGCTCGTGCTTTTCTGAATGAACGTAAGTCATAGAACATCTCTGCAGGTCACTGTCCTCCCAGCGCATCAAGGGCAGAGCAAGCCAGCCCACCAACAGAAGACCCCAGGCCGCTTTTAGGAGAGGACCAGCTCTCTGATGAGATGCAATATGATAAACGCTAAACGTGCTTCACAGAATATTAAAATGGTGCATTTGCTCAAACAAGCTTGACTCGAAGTAGTTCAGCACCACCCCCTTAGTCCAAACTGTGAGGCCTGATTTAGTAAGAGGGTGACAATGTACAGACTCCCACGTACATCCCAAGACAGGGCTCACAAGAACACACTCATTGTCTTGAGCAGAGGCTAGAGCATGAGTGATAGTAGGTAAAATTCCTGCTTCTGTTCTAGGATACCATAATGACCCAGTCCTTTCCCTTGCCCCTCCAAGAGGAGGGTCTGTCCTTGAATAAGCTGTTATTGTGAAGAGAGAGTTGTATCCGTCAGATCTCCCTTGATATTTATGATACCGTTCTGGCTTACAATGTGTTCTAAATTAGAAGCATATTGAATCTAAGATGCGATTTCATTTTATATTTCTTTTTCCATATATTTAATATGTTTTTACTTTCTGACCTATTTAGATACAAGCCTCCTCCCCCAGCCCAGGAAAACATCTTGCATTCTAAATTTATTTTTAAACATCTTGCATTACTACATTTAAAGTACTAAGTCTAGTAGCCTTGGACAGGGCATGCATTTTACCCAGAATCTGTGATTAAAATGGCACCATTTCCAATAAGACCTTGTGGGCAGGCCCAGGTGCACCACCATTTCTCCCAGTCAAAGATGAGAACTGCGTTGCTGTGAGGATAACTGTTTTTCCCTCTTTGAGCCACTGCTGCTGCCAACCCCAGACCCCATCAGGAAGGGACTGGGTAGCACCCTGGATGCTTATTTAGCCAACAGATAAAATTTAAGAACCTTCTGTGTTAGGTGCTGTGGACACATCCATGCCCACCAAGGCCAGTGCAGGGAAAGGGTGGAAGAGGGTGGGGGCGGGGGCGGTAAACAGACTAGTAAATAGGCGATTACAGCTGAATGTGGTGGCTGCTATAATGAGAGAAACTTTCATAAGCTGCTGTGGGCCAATGGGAGGGCACCTAACCAGACTCTCTGAGAAGTTGGGGAAGGCTTCCTGGAATAAGAGGTGTGACTAAACCAGCAGCTCTCAAATGTTTTGGTCTCACAAGCCCTATACAAATTCTTAAGACCTCAGGACCTTCAAGAGTTTTTGTCTGTTTAGGTTTATATCAATATTTACTGTATTAGAAATTAAAACCAAAAAAAATTAAGATATTTTACATCACTTAAAATTCTATGTTACCATAAGTAACATTTTAATGAAAAATAACTACATTTCCAAAACAAAAACTTAGAAGAGTGGCTTTGTTTTACGTTTTCACGAATCTCTTTCATGCGTGGCTCAGTAGAAGATGGATGAATTCTCATATCAGCTTCTGCATTCAACTTGTTTCAGTGTCACATGTCAGGTGGCCTCTGGCAAACTCCACTGTACCCTCTTGAGAAAATGAGAGTAGAAGGGCAAAAAATGTCTTAGTATCATCATGAGATGAGTTTTGACTTCACGGACCCCTTGTAAGGGTCTCAGGGACCGCTATGAGTGCCCAGACCACACTTTGAGAATCATCGGACTCAACTAATTCTAAACTAGTCAGAAACCAGGGAGGAAGTGTTAGAGGGAGAAGGAGAGGATGCAGGGAAGAAATACAGACCTGGGCAGTGAGCACAGCACCAAGTCCTGGAAGCAGGAAGCCAGGCATGAGGTTCAGAGGGCTTTTGCAGTTGTAGTGGTCACTGGTTTTAGAGGACATGGCACCTTGGGAAATGCATCTAACCCTCTGAGGCTTAAGGTGAAGGTTAGAGGAGCCACAAGTTAGCTGCTGGTACTCATGGGACACTCAGGAGTTGAGAGTGGGGCCCAGAGCTTTGCTTTGGGGACCTTTTGCTTGGGGACCTTTCTGTACAAGGTCCCAGTGAATCTGTTTGTCGGGCTTTAAAAAAAAATTTTAACCACTTGTATGTACTGGAACCTGTATGTCAACCTAGTGTCTGGTTTTCTGCTGACACATTCCTGCCCCTTCCACCCAGAACGCTGACATAATCACAGGTCAGAGTTGCACTTAAGAAGAGCTGCTCGCAAAGTGGGTGATCTGAGAGTATAATTTTGATTGCATCCGGAAAAAGAATGTGTAAGGTGATAGAAGAGAGAAGCTGAATAGTAAATTTTATACATTTTATGAGATAGGATTAAACCTTCTCCCCTCCTCATATGTCTTTGGAGGTTTAGAAGAGAAAATTCCGTCCTTAAGTTATTTTGGTGAGGGTGTTTTTCCCCATTTGACCCTGAGCTGTATTGGAGGAGTCTTTTCACTTGTTTGAAGTCATTCTCCCATCACCTTTAAGGTTGCAGTCCCTGCTAAGGGCTGTGTTTGCTAGTCAATTCAGGGGATCTCTGAGCAAGGCCAACATTGATGGACAAGCTACATCCAAATGATATCGTATGAGTCAAAGGCATGTGTTGTAATGGATACTCATTATGTGCTCTTCAGGAGTAATCACTAGGTAGCAGATTGGTGGTGTGCTCACAGTGCTGCATTGGCAAAACTTCTGTCTGGTATACATTGAAACGTTGCAAGTATGAACTGAACTTGGTACACGCATGCCTGCCTCTCTCTCTCTCTCTCTCTCCCTCTCTCTCTCTCTCCCTCTCTCTCCCCTCTCTCCTCTCTCCTTGCATAGGAAATTTTAGATTTTCTAGTGGCCACATTAAAAAACTGAATGCCAACAGGTGGCAGGATGGCTCAGCTAAAAAAAGAAAAAACAACAACAACAAAAAACAAAACTGAAAAGAAACAGGCAAAGTTAGTTGTAATAACATTTTATTTCATTGAGTCTATCCAAAATACCATCATTTCAGCATCTGACAGAGCTGTATTTCAGGGGCTCAGTCACCACGTATGAGTGGGTACCGTTGTCGACAGTGCAGCTCTAGAAGGTAATATTTCCTGGTTTCCTTAAAATAAAGTCCTCTGCTTCGTGTCTTGTCTTTTGTGATCAGTTTTTTCCTGGGATTCCCCTGGTTCTGGTGTCCCCAGTTGAATTGGCCTAATTGAGGTAGTCTAGCCATTGTCTTTAGATGAGATCCAGGAAGTTGCGTGTTGCTTAGGTGGTAGAAATGGAAGAGAACTGTATATTCCCAGTTTCTAGACTGTTGACTTTCCTGGTGAGTGCTAACCTCCGACAAGCGGTGAACAGCAGTGGACCAGTGTCCACGAAACACGCATTGCATCCCACACCCCTTATCATCCCTTCTCCCACGCCACAAGTTTTTTTGGTATCTATCCAGTGTCTCCCCTCCGAATGGTGACTATTTTTAAAACAACAGCCCAACCCATTGCTGACCATCTTTTCACTCTTGCAGACACAGTTCAAACATAAACCTCCACCAAAAAGTACTGACCCAAGAAGCATTGCAGAGCAGTGAGGACCACTTCCGTGCGGCTTACCTTCTGAAAGATGTGGCTAAAGAGGCCTATCAGGATGTGGCTTTCACACAGCAAGCCTCCCAGACATCCGTCATCTTCAAGGGAACCAGCCGGATGGGCAGTCTGGTTTATCCAATAGCCCAAGTCCACAGTGCCGGCCTGGAGAGCTACAACTCTGGTCCCCCAAGTGAGGGCACCGTCCTGGATTTGAGCACTACCTCGAGCATGAAGTCGGAGAGCAGCAGCCATTCTTCTTGGGACTCGGACGGGGTAAGTGAGGAAGGCACCGTGCTCATGGAGGACAGTGATGGGACCTGTGAAGGCCCGAGCCTGGTCTCCGGGGAAGATGAGTACCCCATCTGCGTCCTGATGGACAACACAGACCAGAGCCTTGCCAGCCTGCCTTCGGGATTGCCCATCACATGTCACCTCTGCCAAAAGACGTACAGTAATAAAGGGACCTTCAGGGCCCACTACAAAACTGTGCACCTCCGCCAGCTGCACAAATGCAAGGTGCCGGGCTGCAACACCATGTTCTCGTCTGTTCGCAGCCGAAACAGACACAGCCAGAACCCCAACCTGCACAAAAGCCTGGCCTCCTCTCCGAGTCACCTCCAGTAACAAGACTGGATAAGCGTGGGTCATAATTCAGGAATAAGTTAGTCCAAGGAAATGGTTCTAACTTTGTTTAATCTCATTCGGGACAAGCCAAGCAAAAGGTATTTGAGTTGACTTTCTAGTCTTCTACGGCAGGATGAGCAGAAGACAAGCCTTGTGGGAAGTTGATACCGGGGCAGCCTTTCCTATTATTTTTCTTTGCCCAAGAGGTTTTTCACTGACATAACGAAAACTTGCAGAAACGCAGTTTTTCCCAGATTTGTTTACACATTCTCTGGGAGCGCTCTAGGGCTGCAGATTGACAACAGGGGCCCAGGACCTGGAGGCAGCAGGATTTAAGGTCAATTGAGTATCCTGGGGAAGCAGGCTGTCACCACGGGTGACGAGCCAGTCCCAAAGATCACATTTTTCAGTTCCTGCTTAAATGAGTCTGAAATCCAGACTTCAGTTTGGGAACATGACTTTTTGAGACAGTCCTTCCATGTGGAGTGGAAAATTGCTTCCCCCTCCCCCGCTTGAAGCTCTCATGTGTTACTTCAGGGAGTTCTCAGAGGAAGCGGGTTGGCCTCTAACAGGGACGTTACCAAGGATGTTAGTTCTTGCTCCGTAACACACCCATTCAAGAAGCTCGGGGCCCGAGGGGGGAAATAGTTCATGCACTTAAAAATAGTGGTCTTCCATTTAATTTAAAATAATTTTGATAATATTTAATTTGTGTTTATGTGATGTGAGTATTTGGGATGAGTGCAGCCATGTCACAGTATGGCCTCTGGTCTTGCTGGAAAGCAGAATGAGTGATGATGACCTAAACTTTAAAACCACTGCCTGTTTTCATTTGGGAAAGTTCGTTTTATGTTCCTTGTGATTCCTGTGGAGTGAATGTGGGCACGACTCTGGCAGGACCGTTTGTATGTATATGACCAAAGCGGTTGGCGAGTGTGATTCTGACGGTCGTTGGTTGTGCATTTTCAGTATTACTGGGTCCCTCAGTCTTCACCCTTCATAAACGTGCAAGATTAGGATGAACTTCCAAATTTACCTGGTAGAAAGAAGAGTAGGACATTATTGCCATACCGTGTGTCTTAATATTTAACTTATTCTGAAATATATTCCATGCCGTAATACATGTTGGCTGTTGTAGAAAGGAATCTTACTTAATCAGTCCTGTGGGATGAGGCCAGCTCCTGAAATTCAGCATTTACAGTGCCCTAAAAGCCCACGGTAGGGAAAAAATATTTTATTTCGTATTAGGACTTCAAGTTAACCATCTTTTACAATTATGTTTGGTTTAAGTAATGAAAAACATCCTTAAAGAGAATTGGGGTTTATAAGAGGTAGTATGCCTCTGGCCTAGGGTGAAAGAAGCCAACAACCTGTTACTGATTATTTCAACATTTTTAAACAATAAATGTGACAACCTAAAACTTGTCTCTGCTGAAAGTGAGATGTATCTTTCATCTGTTTTGTTATCCAGCTATTCAATATTCCAGTTTCCCCAAAGTGGAAAAAAAATTTGTATACAAATGAGTTTTCTATGATTTAATAAAAATATATGGCATACTTTTTGTTTACAAAGGTCAACATTTTGTAAAACCGGTTTTGTCATATGGACTGCCTGTTGTACAGGCACTTGTGGTCAGACACACACACACACACAATGAATCTTACAGAGCTGAAGACCACCGGGAGGTCTGAAGGACAAGGCATAACATGAGTTACTACTGCCACCTCAGGACAGGAATTGCAGCAATTCTTGAGGTCCCAAGAAATGACACGGTTACTTCACTGGGAGGAGGAGGCTGTGTATTGGTGTGTTATCAAAATTAAGTGATTTTTAAAAAATACTGTGTTGTCAAAGGTAAGTCTTCTATAAGCAATGCTCAAAATAGAATACAATGAAAGATTGAAGCCTCTTCTTTCGTTTGTAAGTATGCAGTTTTTTAAAGTAACTTTTTTTAACATCTTTTAACTTTTTTTTAACTTCTTCACTTCTTTTTTCTACCTTTCCAATATATAGATAAAAGCATGATCCCATCTACCCGTCCAGGTCCCCTCTCAGGCTGTCCATGTGCCTGCATCATATTCCACTGGGAGAAAAGAAGTCGCCGGGGGGGGGGGGCGGCGGGGGGGAACGTCCTCATCTGCCAGCACCTGCACCATGCCTTCCCCACCCTAGGCCACATCATCTCTTGCCTGGATGATTGCTGTAGCCTCCTAACTTGTCTGTTGCATCCGTTCTTACCTTCTACAGCAGCTAGGATGGTCCTTCCCAGATGTAAATCAGATTACGTAGTGCCCCCACTCAAACTCTCCATTGGCTTCCCTTAACAGGTATATTGCCTGATGTCCCCTAATCACTGCACTCTTGTTTCTTTCTTTACCCTAATGAGAGCCCCACTCTCATCAAGGTTCCCGGTGACTCCCAGGTGGCCGTATCCAATGATACATGGTTCTTCGATGCAGCCTGGTCCCTCTGGGGCCTTTTTCTGTCCTCAGTCACATGCTCTCTCGAGGCTGTCCCATTCACCCTCATGATGCTTGCTAACCAAGTCCTCCAGCAGGATCCTTCTGGGGCTGCCTTCTTGACTACTGGACATCACGGAATCATCCACAGCATCTCCAACTCAACTGGTCCTCAATTCAGTTTGTCATTTCTCCACCAATCAAACTTTTCTTCCTTCTGTTTCCTCAGATTGAGGGAGTGCTGCCATCACCTGGCCAACCCAAAATAAAAACCTGGGGCCTTACAGGGTCTGGTTAAGAGCATGGCTCTGCAATCCGATTGTCCGTGGCTACTCCACTTACTAACCAGTTGACTTTGGCCAAGTAACAGTTTCTCTGGGTCTGTTTCCTCATTCATCTAATAAGGAGAAAAACAGCCTCTGCTTCGGTGGGTCGTGATGAGGACCAAATGACATGGTGCCTGTAAAGCCTTTAGCACAGAGCCTGACACATGGCTCAGCAGATGTTAGCGGTAAGCATCATCATCATCATCATCATCATCATCATCACTATCCTAGACTCCTTTCATCTCGCTCCAGCGGCAGCATTCCAACAAATTACTGACCAAAAAGACGCTCTCAGATCTTCTCCTACTTTTTGTGCTCATCATGAATGTCAGTGCTGCACGGTGGTCTTCTACTTCCTTGTCTTCCTTCTCTGAGGGTATTTCAGCAGCCTCCTACTTTTATTTTTCTCTCCAGTCCGACCTCCAGATAGCAGCCCGAGTGAGCTCTACCATAACCCAGATCTGATTACAGGCAGACCTCGCTTTTTTGGGCTTCACAGATCCTGCGTGATGATCATCATCGAGGCAGGACCCTCCACCAGCAAAAAGAGGACAGCTCTCTGAAGGCTCAGAATGATGTTCAGCAATGAAGCGTTTTTTAATTAAGGTATGTACATTGCTTTTGTAGATATGTTATTGCACACTTAAGAGACTAGCATAGTGTAAACAACTTTTATATGCACCCGGAAACTGAAAACTTCATGCGACTCGCTTTATTGTGGTATTTGCTTTATGATGGGGGTCTGGAACTGAACCTGCAGTATCTCTGAGCTGTGCCTGTATGTCACCCGCCCCCAGGTTCTTGCAACTGCCATGAGGGTACAATTCCCACAAGACAGGCCTCAGCCAGGTGACCCCCTGCAGTTGCCCCACAGTCCTGGGGCTGGCCACCCCTGATGGCCTTGCATATGTTGCTTCCTCTGCAGGAACTGCCTTTCTGGCCTCTGACCCACCCAACCCTTGGACCTTTTTTGGGATGCAGCGCAGGTGTCACCACTTCCAGGAAGCCCCTCGTGACCTCCCTCTCAGCGTTGAGTGAAGCGAGCCCATTCTTGGAACCCACGTGTTGTCAAGGTTTGCTCACAGATACACCGTACTCCACCCCTGCCCCTCATTTAGCAGTTCCTCTGTCAGCATTCACCCCTCACCAAGGGGCTTTACTTGTGGCCTCGGCTGTCAATCAACAGACACTTACCTACTATGTGCCAAGCACTGCTGAGTATACAGTGGTGGGTACAATAAACATGGTCCCTGCTCTTGTGGAATTTATAGAGCCAAGCCAGGGAGACAGATATTAAACCAAAACATAAATCACAAACTGAATTTCGAGAAGAGAGGTCTATTCTTCAACTTCTCTTGCTGTCATCCTTCCTGGCTAGGCCCATCTGAGTGCATGACCTTTCCCCTTCAAGGTTGGGCACTCAGTTTCCCAGATGTGTGACTGCATAAATGTAACTGAACCGTCAATTGCAGGCACATCCCTAAACCTTCAGAAGGAGGGGTCATCTTTCTGTTTTTACATTGGAATCAACCTGAGCCTCCACCCCATGCTTTAGGAAAGCTGACCTCAGCAGTCACTTTCTCCATCAGCCTTTGAACATGAGAAAATCATGAGCCTCCCAGATTGAGAGCATACTTTCAAATCAGTAGACCTTCAGCTGACAGATGAAAACTAGCTTTTCTTTGCAATTAATCATAGGGATCTGATAACATCTCCTCTGATCAAGCTACCCTAACCGAGGGCCAGAGACCATAGAGGCTTATACATGGCCTATTGTCTATCTTAAGGTGCTTTTTTTCTACATGAGCTAATCCACTCACATCCAGATTTTACCTGATTTCTGAAAATCTACCTCTATTAGGAAAGTTCATGGGTCACTGATTCTTTTTTTCTTTTCTTTATTGAAATAAAATGCACATAACATAACATGTACCCTTTTAACCATTTTAAAATGTACAATCCAGTGGCATTGAGTATATTCACAAGGCTGTGCAACCACTACCTCTATCTAGTTCCAAAACATTTCCATCACCCCGAAATAAAACCCTGCACCCATGAAATAGTCACTCTCCATTCTCCCCTCACACCAGCCTCTGGAAACTACTGAGTTACTTTCTGTCTCTATGGATTTGCTTATTCTGGGTATGTCATATAAATGGAATTGTACAATATGTGTCCTTTCGCATCTTTTAGTGTAATGTTTTCAAGGTTCATCCATTGTAACACATATCATTTCTTCTCATGGCTACATAGTATTCCATTGTATGGCTGTACCACATCCATTTTAATTTGTCTTTCCATTCATCAGTTGAAGGACATTTGGGTTGTTTCCACTTTTCAGCTATCATGAATAACGATGCCATGAACATTTATGTACAAGTTTTTGTGTGGACATATGTTTTCACTTCACTGGGTACATACCGAGAAATTGCTAGGTGATAGGCTAACTAACTACATGTTTGACTTTTTGAGGATCCGCCAAACTGCTCTGTTAGATCACGGGTTCTTCAACCTATTTGTGGATTCACATTTCAGATTGTGAGTGGATGGTTCCCTCTGCTGGAATTTCTTGGTTATTGCAATTGATGGTGTGCATTTCCTTTGAATTGCGTCAGACCTAGGAAATGTGTTTGGAAATTCCCCTCCTGACTCATCCAGGTCCTCCAGTTCCCAGGCTAGCTAGCTGAAAAGAGAGCATGTTTCTTGAATGTTCTGAAGCCCACTTCATGGAGGTCATACCTCATTGTGGTTGTGATTTGCGTTTCCCTGATACGTAGTAGTGTTGAGCACCTTTTCATATACCTGTTGGCCATTTGTATATTTTCTTTGGAAAAATAGCCCTTGACAATTTTTTTTTACATTACTTATGCAATCCATTATTTATATAAAACCAAAATGTTTTAATTTTAACTTTAAAATTAATAGAATGTTTTCATGAACAAAGTATTTGCCATTCAAGCATAAAATGCCCATTTTATGGCAAGGTAAAGAATTGGTATTATATAGTACATGGTACATCTAGACAAAAGTAGACATATACACAATAAGATCAGTTTCAATAGTTTAGTATTGCCACATGTTCTTCAGCCTCCCTGAGCAACTGTTGGGCAATACCTTGCTAATTCATGCCAGAATAATGACCTGCGATACAAAGAAAGGAAAAGAAGGAAGCTTAGTCCTATCTGGAAAAGATATTTTGTTATGTAAAAAATATATTCAAGCTATCAGAGGAGGATTTGACAAGGTAATTGTTCTTTTCTCTTACCTGAGCAGGTCTTCCAGTCAGACCTCCAGACTCCCAGCCTGTGTCATCACCTACACTGGCAGCAGAACTACTGCCACACCGTCACTGTGTTTTTGTTTTGTTTTTTGTTTTTATTTTAACTGGGGAATTGGGGGAAGGAAACAGCATTGGGGAATCGGGGAAGGGGAACAGAC